ATGTATATGTATATGTATATGTATATGTATATGTATATGTATATATATGTATATGTATATGTATATGTATATGTATATGTATATATATGTATATATTCCCATTTTTTTGGTGCCGTTTTTGCAACTTTTTTGTCATTCCCAAATTATGTCAAAAATTTAAAAAACTATTTTTTCCAAAAACAAACAAACAAACAACCCTATGGAGCAGTTTTACTCTGTGGTACTGTGGGTTCATGCTCTGGACTGAAAAGCCAGTTTGAACCACAAGGTCAGCAGTTCAAGCTCACCAGCTGCTCCTTGGGAACTTTATATAAGGTTGTTATGAGTCCAAACCAACTTTATGGCACCTAACAACAACAGCCATGTAGGGACTTCTGGGATTCCTGGTGTGGCCCTGCAGGTTAATGCTTTGGACTGCAAGGTCGGTACGAACCGCAAGGTCGGAGGTTCAAGCTCAGCAGCCAGTTCTTGGAAATCTTATACAGCGTTGCTATGAACCGATTCGACAGCACTTAACAACAACAACATAATGACTCCTAGTCTGGCACTAAAGGATCAACACTGGACTGTGAACCACAAGGTTGGCAGATCAAACCCACCAACTGTTCCCTGGAAAGCCTGTACAGGGTCGCTATGAGTTGGAACCAACTCGACGGCACTTTACAGCAACAACAACAACAACAATAGGGTCACTATGATTTAGAATTGACTGGACACCAGTGGGTTTGTTTGTTTGTTTGTTTGGCCCCTCCAAACTGTGCTAGCAGGCCTACCAGGGCACTGGGAATCTGGTCATCTTTTCTAAGGCTATAGTCAATGAATGGTTAACAAGTTCCTAAGCCAGACTCTCAGGGCAGGGAGGAAGCTTGGGCCCCGTGTGTGAGAGCCATCTGAGCAAGACTCGGAGACCCAGAGGAATGAGAACTGGAGCCTCTGGGGCCATTGTCACCCTTGCTTCTGCAGCCCAAGTGTCACAGTGAGAACTGACTGTCCCCAGAGCTGGGCACCTTCTGGACTGAAAGCCCCAACTCCCTGGGTACTCAGCCACTTCCATTGGAAGGTCTTATTTTCAGCCTATGTCCCAGCAATGGTGACAACTGAAGCACATTCTGACCTGGTGCCCACCTGGACCACAGTCTTCCAGATGTCCTTCCTCCTCATGGAGAGTTTTTACCACCCTGGACAGAGTGAGGTCCTGGGTGATGTAAATGCTGAAAGCCTCAGCCCTCAACTGAAAGGTTGGTGTTTAGAGTCCACACCGAAGGCTTGGTGATCTACTTCTGAAAAGCCAGTCCTTGAAAACACGATGGGTTGCAGCTTTACTCTACACATGGAGTCAAAGTCCACTGGACAACAACTAGGCCTACAGAGGAGAGCCCTGAGGTCTGAGAAGACCAGGAAACTCAGGATTCCTGCTGGCACTGGGAGCAGGGTTTGGGTCCAGACACCATCTGCACATTGTCTGCCCCCAGCATCTGCATAAGGTTGTACCTGACTCTTTGAACCCCTGTCTTATCTATGAACAACAATCCTGAACATGAGCTATTGAAAAAAGAAAGGGGGAGTGTCCACAAAAGACCTGGCCCACAACAGATAGTCAGAAGTGAAGCTGACAGATTTCAGAGTCCAGAAATGCATACCTGCTAAGGGCCTCCTCCCCTGGAGTCTCACTCACCTGGGCAGGTGTCACAGGCCACAAATACCTTGATGCCCAAGGCAATGAAGAGCAGGGCAGTGGGCCCCATGGCTTAGGCTCTCCGGACTCCGTAGCTCTTGACTCTGCTGCAGAAGGAACCTCACTCTTTAAAAGCTAACAACCCATCATGACCTCTGCCTCTACTTCTCATGTCTTGTGGCTTGGTGGTGGGGCCAGTCCCAGAACACGTCCTTTTCCCCAGTCTCATCCTACTTCCTACTTACTTAGCTTCACTTCCTCTCAGCAAGGACACTTCCTTCCCACTAAGAAGGTTCCCTAAGGGATGAGCCATCCTGTTTGTGCCTTTGGAGAAAGCCCAGCCAGCTAGCCCCCAACTCATTACAATGGGTGCCTTACGGTGCCCTGAGGCCTAACCTCACACCCTTGTCAAACATTCTAGTTCACTTGGTCTCAAAGTCTGCAGATGTCTAGAACCTTCCACTAGAGACCTAAGAAACTACATGGGATTGAGAGTGTTGTTGTTGTTGTCAACTGTTGTCAAGTTGGTTCCAACACATAGTGATCCTGTATAGGGTTTCTGAGGAGTCCTGGTGTGGCACTGTGAGCTAATGCGTCAGACTGCAATCCTTGGAAACCCTATACAGAGTCGCTATGGGTCAGAATCAACTCGACAGCACTTAACAAAAACAAGAGGGTTTCCAAGGAGTGACTGGTGAGCTTGAACCAGCTCAAACCAGCTTTGCAGTCCAATGCATTAACCCACAGTGCCACACCAGGACTCGGAGATGGAGGATAGAGAAAGAAATGTCTGTGGGTGAAGAGTTCCTGGGCCAGCATGCAAGGATCTGGCTCTAACCAGGGAGGACTCTTCAGGAGCCTTGGTGACTCACTGTTAGTTAGCTTGTTGAGTTGCTTATTTCAAGGTAAGCAGTTCAAACCCACCAGTCATTCTGAAGATGAGGCTGTCCGCTCCTGTAAAGAGAGTCTCAGAAGCCAAGAAGCAGTTCGACCTTGTCCTCTAGGGTTGCTGTGAGTGGGTGTTTGTTTGGGCAAAGGACTCACAGGTAAGAGACAGGGTGGGCTAGACAAACCAGAAGACTGGTGTCAAAGACTAAACAACTGTGAACTCCAGTGACAGACAGGCTGGATAGATACTTTGCAATTAGGCAGCACCCCATTTAGCAAGTCAGTGGGTCCACCAGTTAGTTAGTATTCTTAGCATGCATATATGCAAAACTATCAGGAACTTTTGAGCAAGGTGTCTGATTGGTTGACATTTGGGGTGTGTTTTTTTGTTTGTTTGTTTTTTGCTACTGTTAGGCATCAACCAGTCATTTCCAACTCATAGTGACCCTCTGCACAACAAAACAAAACACTGCCCAGTCCTGCACCAACCTCACAATTGTTGTTAAGCTTGAGCTCATTGCTGCTGTCTCTACACCAACCCACCTCGTTGGGGGTCTTCCTCTTTTGTACGGACCCTCCACTTTACCAAGCATGATATCCTTCTCCAGGGACTGGTCCCTCTTGATAATATGTCCAAAGTCTGAGAGATGATAGCTCGTCATCCTAGCTTCTAAGTAACGTTTTGGCTAAAAAGTTATACGACCATCACAAGACCTGTGAGTACTGGTAAAAAAGACACCTAAAGTTTTGAAAACAGGATTTGGTCACCAGTAAATAAAGTGGGATAGGTTCATTTGTTCTGAAAACATTAATCTTGTTTTTTTGGGTTTTTTTTCTGCAAGAATTCGTTTTAAGTGCAAGTTAAAAATAATGGGACCAGTCTTTCTGGTTTCAGCGGGACTGGTCACCTAGAATCAATTTTGTGAAACAAACAACCTATTTCTAAAGGTTAGTTAATAGCATAGCTAAAAGATGATTTATTTATTACAATGCATAGATTTCTAACATTTAACAAGATGACCTTTAGTGTCATAATGCAAACCTTGTACTTTGGGACAATGGCAAAGGGTACTGGGCAGCCTAGGGACAGTATCCCGGTTCCAGTCGTGGCAGGCTCTTGAGAGGTGCCAGACTGTGTGTTGTGCTGTGCTGGCTTGTGTGTTGCGGTGATGTTGGAAGCCATATTTCAAATATCGACTCCTGGTGTGGCACTGTAGGATCAGCACTGGACTGTGAACCACAAGACGGGCATTCAATCTCACCAGGTGCTCCTTGGAAACTCTATATCGAGTTGCTGTGAGTCAGAACCGACTCAATGGCATTTCAAAACAACAACAACAACAAAGTCATTCATGTGGACATAACTTCCAGACTTCCAGATGCTTAAAAAAGATCTGGTAAATCTTTGTTGCTAAATGCCATCGAGTTGGTTGCAGCTCAGAACAACGCTGTGGAGGGTTTCCAAGGAATGGCTGGTGCATTTGAACTGTTGACATCGCAGTTCAAACCGACAGTGTTGTCTAGTCCGTATTCTATCATTTGTTCTCCAGCATCATTTCTATCACCAAGTCCAAATTTTCCAACTACTGGTCCTTCCTCTTTGCTCCCAACCTTTGCATTCCAATCCCCAGTAATGAGCGATATATTTTGATTGCATGTTTGATCAATTTCAGATTGAAGAAGTTGGTAGAATTCTTCTATTTCATCTTCACTGGCTTTAGTGGTTGGTGCATACATTTGAATAATAATGGTATTAACTGGGCTTCCCTGTAGGCGCATGGATATTATCCTAAGGTGCATGGATATTATCATTAACAACCTGCAATATGCAGATGATACAACCTTGCTTGCTGAAAGTGAAGAAGACTTGAAACATTTACTGATGAAGATCAAAGAACACAGTCTTCGGTATGGGTTGCATCTCAATGTCAGAAAAACAAAAATCCTCACCACTGGACCAATAAACAACATTCTTATCAATGAAGAAAAGATTAAAGTGGTCAAGGACTTCATTCTTCTTGGATCAACTATCAACACTAGTGGAAGCAGCAGTCAAGAGATCAGACGATGTATTGCACTGGGCAAATCTGCTGCACAGGAACTTTTTAAAGTATTGAAGAGCAGAGATGTCAGCTTGAGGACTAAGGTGCGCCTGACCCAAGCCATGGTATTTTCAATAACCTCATATGGATGCGAAAGCTGGACAGTGAATAAGGAAGATTGTAGAAGAATTGATGCCTTTGAGTTGTGGTGTTGGAGGAGAATACTGAAAGTGCCATGGACTGCCAAAAGAACCAATAGATCTGTTTTGGAAGAAGTGCAGCCAGAGTGCTCCTTGGAGGCCAGGATGGCTAAGCTTCGTCTCTCCTACTTTGGACATATTGTCCAGAGGGAACAGTCTCTGGAGAAGGATGTCATGCTGGGTAAGGTGGAAGGTCAGAGAAAAAGAGGAAGACCCCCAACGAGATGGATCAGCCAGGTGGCATCATTGATGGCGTCAAGTGTGGCAGCGGTAGTGAGGTTGGCCCAGGATCGGACATTGTTTTATTCTGCTGTGCATGGGGTCGCTATGAGTCGGTTCCGACTCGATGGCACCTGACAACAACAACACTTATCCTATAGTAGACCAGGACAGTTGACCTTAATAGCGTTAAGACAGAGTAAAGATTTCAGGCCCTTCATTTGCTGATGTGGCACAACCCAAAATGAGAAGAAACAGCTGCAAATAGTCATTTATAATTGTAACATAGAATGGTCCAAGTCTGAATCTAAGAAAATGGCAGTCATCAGAAATGAAGTGGAAGGCATAAGGAACAAGATCCTAGGCACCAGTGAGCTGAAATGGACTGGTATTGGCCATTGTGAATAAAAAAAGCTTATGGTTTACTATGCTGGAAATGACAAATTGAAGAATGGCAAAGAGCTTTCCAAGATCTATCTTGAAATACAATGTTTCCAGTGATAGGATAATATACGTGGAGTCCTGGTGTGGTGTTGTAGGATAAGCAAGGTCAGTGTGAACCACAAGGTCTGTCATTCAGGCTCACCAGCCACTCCTCAGAAACCCGATCCAGGTTCACTGTGAGCCACAACCAACTCAATGGAACTTAAAAACAACAGCAAAACACATGACACAGACGCAGCAAAACTGGGCTCGAACATAACTAAGTGGAGAGGATGGCATAGGACTGGGCAGTGTTTCATTCTGCTGTGTGTGCACAGGGTCACTGTGAGTTGAAACAGACTCAACGGCACCTATCAACAACAACAAATAAGGAAGACCACTGAGTGTGACTATTATTCAAAATAAATGGAAGAGTTCTACCAACTTCTGCAGTCTGAAATGGATCAAATACGCAATCAAAATCAGTTAATGATTTCTGGTGATTGGAATGTGAAAATTGAAACAAATAAGGACCAGCAATTGTAAGATATGGCCTTAGTGGTCGTAACAACTTCGGAAATCACATGATAGAATTGTGAAAGAACAGAACTTATCCCGTGCAGACACCTTTCTTCAGAAACATAAATGGCAACTCTATATCTGGTCATCATCAAATGGAATTCCCAGGGATCAGTCATTGAGCTCACGTGGAACCTGTCCATGGACGAAGAAGCAGTCACAGAAAGCGGACTAACTGTGTCTTTAAAATCCAGAAAGGTGTACTGTAAGGTGGCAACCCTTCACCATACTTATTCGGTCTGAGCAAATGATCCTAGCAACTGTGAAGGAGAACCAGCATCAGGATTGGTGGAAACTCATCAACAACCAGCACTATGTAGATGGCACAGCCTTGCTTATTGAAAGCGAAGAAGACCTGAAACACTTACTGATGAAGATCAAGGACTTCATCACAGATCAAACCACTGAGTGTGGATTGCACTTCAACATAAAGAAAACAACCATCAGCAAACCTGGGCAAGTAAACGACATGGTGATAAGCGGGGAAGAGATGAAGTCGTCAAGCGCTTGATTTTGCTTACAGCTGCAATCAACACCCATGGAAGCAGCAGTATCAAACCATGTATTATATTGAGCAAGTTTTCTGCAAAAGATCGATTTAAAGTGTCAAATAATAATAATAATAAAGAACAAATATGCATGACTTGGTTCAGGCATTTTGAGGACTAAAATATGCCTGACTCAAGTCATGACCTTTTCAGTCACCTCACACACTCAAC